AAGGGATTTGTCAAGTAAAGGTGTCAACACCAAGGGTTCAATCTTGGTATCTGGTCATGGAGATTGAGCGTCTGCTACCCCAAGATTGAAATCTTCCCCATTGAGAGCTAAAGACTTAGTTTCAGGGTTGGACGGAGTTTTGGATGGTAGTAGTTTCAGCATTGCCATCTGGTAATGGGGATCAAGAGTTCATCACCCCAAGATCAAAGATCTCGATCACTGCTTCCTCTATCTCGATTACTGCTTCTTCTATGTTCATGCACAATGTCTTGTGGGTGATAACGTCATCGACCAAGACCTTGGTGGTATCCGCAATTTTTTTCGATTGCCCAAATTTAGAGTTCCTTGACCTTTCAGGGAACAACTTTTCAGGTGAGCTCTCTGCTTTAGGTTCCCTAACTCTAAATAGTTGGGGGAGATAGAGAGAGAGAGGGGTTTGGGAGGTTGATCAGGGGAGAGAGAAAGGGAATCATGTCAAGAGAGATAGGGGTTTATCAAAACAATGTCTTTTTAAATTTGTTTGGATTAATAAAATTAGTAAATAATGAATAAAATATGTTTAAGGTAGGAGATATAATAGAGTGGATTTCTATGTAGTAAGATAAGTTTTACAACCTTAGGTCAATGGAGAAATGAATGTTGAAAATGGGGTTTACGAAGATATTTTCCCATATAAAGATTAATTTTCAGCCAAGTTCAAGTTAGGTCTAGGTCCTTATGATCAATCTTGGTTTGGTTCCAGATACCATAGGATACTTCCAGGTCCGGGTCCGGGTCTGGCCGAGAGAGAGACAGCTCTTTGTTCATTCGAAAAAGACAGAGCACTTTGCTGCCTTATAGATAATAGAAACAAAATTCTCTCTAAATTTTATTCAATAGAGAGAGTGTATCGCAATAGGTGGCTTGGCTTGAAGTCAGTGAAATTAAATCAAAGCATATGGGTGATGTATTAAATTGTTCATCTATGAATTGGAAGTGTTTGGAAACCACACACTTTTCTAACCCAAAAGGCTTTGTTAAAGCTTATGGGGAAATTCGGCAAGGGGATCCCCTTTCCCCTTTTCTATTTACTATTATGGGAGAGATATTCAGTATAATGCTTACTTTAGTTGTACAATTAGGGATATTGAAGGGTTTCAAGTCAAATCTGATTGGATAATGGTATCACACCTGCAATATGTAGATGATACATTAATTTTATGTGGTGCAAATGAAATGAAAATACAAAATTTTAAGAGACTTTTTCGAGTTTTCGACGTTGTTACTGGACGAAAAGTGAATTTACAAAAAACACAGTTAATGGGAGTAGCTTGTGGTGAAGGAAAGGTACAGGAATATGCTGAAAAAATGAACTGAGGTACTGACTGTTTTCCTTTGAAATATATTGGTTTGCCTCTTTTTGATAATACTAGATTCATAGCATTGTGGTATCCTTCGATTCAACGTATGGAATACAAATTGGACTTATGGAAATTCAAATTATTATCTTCGAGGGGTCGAATAACATTAATTAAAGTTGTGTTATCAAATCTACCCATTTATTATATGTCATTGTTTAAGATGTTGAGTAAGATTGCAATAAGATTGGAGGATATTATGAGAAAGTTTCTATATGGGGGAAATGAGGAGAAGAATAAATATAATTTGGTGAAATGGACAAAAGTGTGTACTCCAATTTGTTGGGGGGGGGGGGGGGGGGAGGGGAGTCTGAAAATCATAAACACATGAACAGTGTTACTAAACAAATGGTGGTGGAGATGTGCAAATAAAAAAAATCAGTTATGGAGTAGAATCGTAGGGGAAAAATATGGTGAAGATAAGGACCTTGAGTTTGTCTTTTATAGAATTGATAGAAAAAAATCGTGTGGTGGCCGCTGGATTTCTATCCATAAACAAAGACCGATGGGGTGTCTCTAGAATGATATGATGTACAATCTCAATGTGAAAACGAGAGAGAGATTTGTTAAGAATGTTAGGATATAGGTTTATGGGAATGCCCGAGGTTTGGATGGGTTAAACTAAAATTTGATGGGTGTTCATTGGGAAACCCCAGTCAAGCGGGTGTGGGAGGTATTATTAGAGAATAGGATGGTAAAGTTCTACTGAAGTATCATCGACCAGCAGGGACAGTGACTGAACTTCGAGCTATGCTTTAAGGGATCAAGTTGGTGAAGAAATTTCGAAAAGCTGTGGAAATAGAAGGGGACTCTATAAATATAGTCAAGTGGATAAAGAAAGAAGCTGCTTATCCTTGGAGATTTCGTAGTTTAACCAGCCAAGTGAGTGACTGTTGCAAGGATATAGAGTATGTTATTAGACATATTTAGAGAGAAAGTAATATAGAGGCTGATGGTCTTTCAAAACAGGTGCTCTTGATAGTAGTTTAATTGTAGAAAGATTTGATAGTACTTAATTTTGTTGTTTTTACTTGAAGCTGTTTGTTTTCTGTTGTGACTCTGGTAATGTTTATGTTGTAAACTCGGTTTTTGATGAATAAATAAAGTGTGATTGTTTCTCAAAAAAGAAATCTATGGATCGGGAGTAAAATTCATATGCATGTATGCGTGTTTTGTGTGTCGAATGTAGAGGTGGCAATCGGGTCAGGTCGGCCTGCCAACATTGTGGGTCGACTCAAATCGAGAACGGGTCTGGGTGTTGGACCCATTGAGTAGGGTCTAGTCCAAGTCCGACTGGACCCTATCGAGTCCGGGTTGGATCTGGCTAGACCCAACCTAATATAAAACATATAAATATATACAACATATTGTTTATGAATTGGAAGAGTAAAATTCATATGCATGTGTGTGTGTTTGTGTGTCGAATGTAGGGGTGGCAATCGGGTCGGGTCGACCTGACTCAAATTTGGAATGGGTCTAGGTGTTGGACCCATTGGGTCGGGTTTGATCCAGGTCTGACTGAACTCTATCGAATCCGAGTTGGGTCTGGCTGGACCCAACCCAGTATAAAAAAGATATAAATATATATAATATATAAAGTAACTTTTTAAATTTCTAGACTCCGACCTGACTCGTTGCCACCCCAAGTCGAATGAGTTTTGGCACATGTATGGCAAGTGCGTTTTACTACCAAAATCTATCTTTGGAGCTGAAATTTCACAAGAAGATAATCTCGGATAAAAATGAAATTTAAACATTTAAATAAAATGTTCTAAAATGATTGGTCCAAAAACAACCCTTAATGGTGATCGAGATTAGTTAAATATTAGATTAAAAATCCATCTCTAATATGGATTTTCTAAGGCGAGGACGCTTCAATAGTCTAGCCGCATAAAACCTCAAGCCTCTAATTTTCCTCAAAACATCTTAAAATATATCATTTTGTTTGTTCTCTTTCTAGCCTTTTGATCTTTGCTCAAAAGTCGATTTGTATAATAAATCAAATACAATTGCCAAAGTAGATCTATTTAAATCTATTTAACAATCTATTGGACATGGTTCCTATGAGTCCATGTAGAAATGAGTCCCCTCTTAAAAAAGTAGTTTTGAGATGGATTTTTGGACTTAATTTTGAAAGACATGTAATCTCTAATATAGAAAACATGAATATGATTAAATATATAAAAATTGAAAACTATAAATAATAATTCTATTAATAAAACATTTGGACCGTTAATTTCAATTGTTTTTTAGATGGACCACCTATTTGCATCCATCTTTAAGATAAATGATTTATAATTTAGGACCACATATTGTAGAAATGCAGTCTAGCTCGTATGAAACAATTTTCCAATCTATTTGACCTGCAATGTGATTTCTAGGCACTTTTTGTGGCGCGTTTGAAATCTTGAAGATTCGATTTTGAAAAACGCTTATTTTAGCATAAATACGGTAGTATTCACTTTTCAACATTAAAAATAAAGTCGATAGATGTTTTGATATCTATTTTTTTTTGCGTAACATTTCCCTGTTATTAATCAAGGAAGTGCCATTGTGTCAGGAAGACATCATTTCTAAAACCACATCTTTCAAAATTCAACCATGCCATTACAATTCGTCTTCCTTTGTCCTTTTTTTTTTTTTTTTCATTACAGCCATTTGTCCTTTTTTGTTTTTTCTCTTGACCGCCATTTCTTCAAATTTACTCCAAACGCTTTTCAACTATGTACATGTACATTTAACCTGTAGGTCTCTATCCTCATGTTGTTCAATTTCATAGCTACCAACACTTTTCATACCAAATGTAGCATACTCATTATTTACTTATTGACAAATAAATAGATGGGGTATGCTAATTTCTTTATATATGTTACTGCATATTTATTAATTGAAAGCAGCAATTTTTAAGGTGGCAGTATCAATACAATAAGTTGTTAACGTAGCGGGTTTACTTTTTGTCATAGAGTCGCGGCCTTATGCTAACTCAATATTTTCTTTTCAAAAGAAAATGATCCAAATACTTGTAAGAGATGAGCTAAAAGGGGCTGTCACTTGGTTTGATGGTAAAAGGCTCGGTAGCGAGCTAAAAGGGGTTGTCACTTGATATGATGGTAAAAGGCTCGGGTAGCTAGCAAGTACATGGGTTCGAGTTTTGGGAGCTGCCACTTTATGCATAAAAAATCAAAGGTTATATGACCATTTCCATCTCTTCTCGCTCGAGATCCTACGTAGATCAGTATAGAGTTATGACCCTTTATCAAGACCTGTAAGAGATGAACTATTTGATATTCCACTAATAGCTTTTAATCTAATTTCAAAATACTCATAACATTGGAATTGCTGAAAATGGGCCTAATGTTGACGATTCATCCCTCAGGATTATTTTGGTAAATTTCATTTTTAATACAATTCATTTGCGAAGGGCAATTACGAAATTTCGTCACAATAACTCTCAACAAATAATACAAGGACTAAGATGCCATTTTTGACAATTATCGCGTTTAGATCGGTCATTTTTGGTCTCCTTTTCAGCCCTAGATCGAACGGCTCACATCAACCCATGCCAAATCTCGACCCCAAATAGAAAACCCCTTTTTCTTCAACACAAAACCCTAATTTTCAGAAGTAGCGGGACCCCGGCTTCTTCCAAAACCGTTGCTTGCAAGAGCAAGCGAAACCCTAGTTTTCGAAGATCTAGTTCTCTGCAACTTCTCCTTTTCGTGACATCAAAGCTCCAATCATGGTGAGTTCTGTTTCTAACCCTAGAGCACATACAAGAAGAGATCTAATGGGATTCGAGGAAAGAAAAATGTTGAGAAAATGGTTAACAAAAGAGAGAGATATTCAATAAAAGAGAGAGATATTCCACTGACAAGCTCATCTGACATAAAGAACTAGACATATGCAGAGTCACAGTTATTTATGTTTGAAAACTTTTATTTTCTGTTTTACTTTTTAGTTCCCTTCAGATATTTTCCCCTCCATTCGTTTTAAGAATGGGAATGTGCTGATTTCTGGTTATATCGTATGTTTTCCTTGCATTTTATCTGTTTTTCTGAATGGTTTTTCTAGTGGATTTATCTATCATTTTCTTCCTATTTCTTCATAAATTTTTCCTACTATCTGTCTACTCTAGGATTGGCAGTGTATTGAATAATGGATCTGTTGCTAATTTTCAATGCAATTTGTTTGAGTTTATTACCTCCTATTTTTTTTACTGGACTGTCACTTATCATTTATGTTTGTCAGTGTAGAACTTTTATATTGGAGCATTAACCTATCTACTTGTGTTCTAAGTTATATGTTGTATGATCAGAGCTATAGTTCTCCATGGTGTATTTCCTTTCACCATTTTATCGAACTCATCCCCCTTATTGTTTTGTTTTTTGACCTCTTTTATATCTAAAAGCCTTTCAAGCGATACGTGGAAATTGGGAGAGTTGCTCTTGTGAATTATGGAAAGGATTATGGAATGCTTGTTGTGATTGTGGATGTTATCGACCAGAATCGGGTACGCATTTCCTCAATAGTATTTTTTATAGAAAATATTGCTTAATTAGTTTAATTTATTTTGATTTACTTGTTGTATGAAGCTCCTTGCAACCTCATTATCTGCTATTTAGTCCTTTATTTTTATTATATTTTGTTTCTCTGTTACTTGTCTAATTGGTGCGACGTTTGTGTTAAAAGAAGCTTGTTGATTGTGATATAGTTAACAATATATCTTTTCTGTCATGATTAAAAAATATATATATTTGTTCTCTCGGACTAAAATTTATGTACCTGTTTAACTACACGTGATATTGAATATGGTTTTTTTTGTGTCAGAATTGGGTTGTCTATATGGATTGTTGAATATCTCGATTCTAATGATACTTCTTTCATCAACCTTGAATCTGTCTGCTGGTCACTATATATTGGTTGGGCTTATTGGTAATTTTTAAGGCTTTAGAGTACTAGTACAATTATAGTTTGTTTGGCAGCATTTTAAGTTTCAATCGATGGGTTTATAGTTGCTTTGGTGATCAGTACATAAAGGGGTCCTTGCTGAGCTTTGAAGAATAACCACCTCACATATGAATCATCGAAATGTGTTAGAAATATCTTTTCTCATTTTGATAAATCATGTGAGCTTTTAAGAAATAATTTCTGTCATTTCCTCTAAAGGGCGTAGGTGGTAGAACATGTAATCTTCTCTTCATATAATGCACAGCACCACCCCCCAGCCTGGCGGTTGGCTGCTTGTATCTCTTTTTGCATTGATTTTTCCTATAATTATTATGTACTATACTCCATCTATTCTTTATATTTTTGTGTTGCAAAAGAACCGTAAATAATTTCTTCTCATGCAGAACTTATAGCCTTTTTCACTTTTTTTCCTCGTATGAATCAAAGTTTGCTATGATATCAGGATTTAAAGCTCCTTTAGTAGTTGAGATTATGAATAGAGATTCTTATTCTATAATATTCACTTCTCCGCTTGGACCTTGGTCCTTGTGGTCATGAATTGGATGATTATTCATAGATTTGGAAAATCATTTATATTCATAAAAAAAAAATTGTACATTGTTTAGTTGGTTCATAACCTTAGGTTGCTGTGCATGTGGCTTGCATTGTCAGTTGATTGATTTGAGCCTGTTTGCGTCAAGGCAATGACTACATGCTTATTGTGTTTATGTAGTTATGTGCAACGTTCCGTCTATTGTGAAGTTGGGCCTAAATTTAATTTGTTTGATGATCTTGTAACTGCAGTTTGTGTACTTTCCTTGTCTAAGTGGATACTTTTAGTTTTTTGTATTTCTTTTGCTATTCGTTTCAATGATATTCCTAACAAGATATTGCATCTTTTAGCTTTCGTTTTTTTAATCAATGTATGCACCAAAGAATTCATGTATTATTGCATATTTTTACATTTCATTTTGTGATGCTTCTATGAAACAGCTCTGCTTCCTAAATAAGATGTTTGTTATTTGTTTTGTAAGAAACTTGTGAGCTTCTTGGCCAAATGAGCATAATTTCAATTTATCTTGTGCACGACAAGACTTTTGTAAGTGTTGCTTCTTGAGTTTTGTGGATTCGGCCTTGCTATTGATGGGGCTTATCTGTGGTGAGAAGCATAGATTAAGTAGAATGCCAGTATTAAACAACATGATGTTTTGTTCTTGCATCCTGTTACCTGTCTCCTGGCAAATTCTCTTTATTCTATGATATATTATAAAAAAATTAAACTATTTCTATGATATTACTTCTTGACCTTTTATTGTTGGAAATAGCCCAATTTGGATTGTTTTTCAGGGTAACTGGTCGGTCTGACTAAATATCAGAAACCGGCCGGTCCCTTGTTCCATGTAATTTTTTGCTTTTTTAGTTTTTTATTTTTAAAGTTTTTATTTTATTAGAGAACCCACATTTTTCATGTAAATTTTTATTTGAATGAGAACTTCTTATTTTTTTCAATTTTTATTATTTACCAGAGGCCTCTTATTTACATGTAGATGACCCCACATCCATTGTGAAATGGACAAACATGCCTCCCTCCCATGTTTTATAGTTCATTGATACCCAGCTTATCTCCAACCTCCCCTATGTGGAATAAATCTTTTAAAGTTTAGAACTTAAAACTTTTGTGGGCTATGAGCATATACGACACCTAAAATCTCTCTCTCTCTCTCTCTCTCTCTCCCCCCCCCTCCCCATTAAAAAAATTAAAAAAAAATTTTGTTGGCCCCATTTAAAATGACAAAAACAACATACTACAAATAAAGGTATCTCGTTTCTCTCTCTTTACCCTTCTTTCTCTCTCTTGTATGAGAGTTAAGTGTTTTTAAGAGACGGCATGGTCAGGTAAGACAGATTCAAGAGCGAGAGATGGTTTAGTGTAAGAGAGGGATCACAATATGCGTACATGATGTTTAGACTTTAGAGAGAGAATCTATACTCGGAATTTGGTATCTGTACGCACAAAATTTTGTTTAATGCGAGGCTGAGTGTCTCTGTGAATTCACAGGTATGGGGAGATCACTTAGATAGAGCATTTGGGTATGTGAGGAAGAGTGTGTGAATCTGTGCCTAGTTAATGCCTTGCCATGTTAGGACTTGTATTTTGTAGGTTTTATTATGCAAGTATTTGAATTCAGTATAATCCTCTTTTACTTGTATCTGTCTTGTTCCCTCTTTGTATCTAAATACCTATCTATGCAAGTGTTTCCTTTAAATGTTAAAATCTACTTCACTGTTTAGTTGTAATCTTTTTGTTTTTAGTTACTGTAATCGTGCCTTATGAAAGTAGGGAGACCTTATCTTTAGATATGTAGTAGGATTGGGTAGAGAGATTTTAAGTTAGGGTGTGTGCTCATAACTCATGCAGCTTTAAGTTTTTTAAAAAGTTTATCTTCCATTAGGGAGTTTGGAGAAAAGTTAGGCTCCAATGAACTATTAATTACCACATTGGGGAAGGCATATATGTACTCCATTCTAACTAGTTGGTGTGGCCTATCCACATGGAAATGTGGGGCGTGTTGCAAAAACAAAAGTTACATGGGAAATGTGGGGTCACTACCAAATAAAAAATTACGTGGATCCTAGGAAACGGCTGGTTCCTAAAGTGGTTCCCTTGAAAACTGAAATGGATCGGGCGATTTTGATCTAGATCGGCATTTTTTAAATGTTGTACTGTACAGTGGAATTCTTGCCCGGCTCATTCTTTAGGGAGCTTCAATTGATTGCAGACCAGCCTTCTACTCTTCTAGCCATTTTTCCTTGGTATCTGCTTTTCTTCTTAGTTCTGTCAACAGGTTAAATATTCCACTTTTTCGTTGTTTGTTTTGGCTTATCCTTCTCATGCGATGATTGTATGGTTTTAGATTTGTTTATTGTGACTTCTCGTGTCCTCTCCCTCTCTCTCTCTCCCTGTGTTATCTATACCATCTCATGGATGTTTTCTTTGTCGTGCAGGCTTTGGTTGATGCTCCCAAAATGATTCGGACACAAATGAACTTCAAGCGGCTTTCACTGACCGATATTAAGATTGATATTCCTAGGGTGCCGAAAAAGAAGTCTCTGATTGCAGCAATTGAAGCAGCTGGTTAGTGCACCAATGGTTTTATTAATGGATTTTTTTTCTCAGCTCTGCATTGGATTTTTTGAAATATGACAAGAGTAATACATATTAATAACAGATGTGTACAAGAAGTGGGAGAACAGCTCATGGGGAAGGAAGCTGATTGTGCAGAAACAGAGAGCATCCCTCACTGATTTCGACAGGTTCAAGGTCATGCTGGCGAGAATCAAGGTTTGTATCAGTGAACACCGATAATCTTATTATATTTTGTTTAATGGTCTACTGAATCAAGACCCCTTGCAATCTCTCTACCTTTAATTTCGATACAGTGAATGAGCAAGGTCCTTATCAGAAAATAATGGTGGTTTTAAATTTCATTTAATGCTTCAATGAATTTAGACCTCTCTCTCTCTCTCCCCCCTGGATTTAATTTAGTTATTGTTGTTATCGTCATATTATTAAAGCTGTGGGTTTACATGCTTTGTGTGCAGAGAGCTGGCTTGATAAGGCAAGAGCTAAGTAAATTGAAGAAGCAAAGCGCCAGCTAAGTGCTTGAGGGAAAATTTTGTTTGCTGCATTTCTATTATTTTCTGGTGATTTTCAATGTTTTGTAGAACCTTTCAAGCGAGTATTGTGGATCTCTCTTTCCTGGACCTCTGGTTCGTTTATGGAAGTTATTTTTTTTATGGAACTTGACTAAGAGCCTCAATGGTTGTGGCCTTATTTTATTTGGAAAAGCTTTGCAGTTTTTTCCGTTTCATTGTGAGTAGATTTTTTATGGAAAAGTATACAAACAGAGGGCATTTACTTTTAATACAAAGAGATGACAATCATTTTTGTCCATTAGATTTCAAATCGGGTGGTTGTGAATGTATTGATTAGACTCTGTTCAAAAAAAACTTTTTCGGACTTTGTGACATACAGATCAGCCATCCAATTTGACATGTAATACCTAGTAGCAATTGTGAATTTGGAAAAAATGATCTATTGTCTCGTAGCATATAATACCTATTTTTATTTACCCAAAAAAAGAGAGTTGGCAGTTTGTTGCTCACTAAAATTTTTCCTTGGTATTATTGTTCGGTGCATATGAAAAACCTAACCTATTTTCAATGAATTATGACATTGACCTATTATCTATAAACTGAGACGAATCTATTTTCAATGAAGATACGAGAAACTCTAAAACTCATAGCACTTGTGCATCATGAAATGATTGAATCTCTCTCTTACACAGATCTAGAAGGTTTTTGACGCAATATTAATCCTCTTAAAAACTGCGTTGCATTGATCGACAGGTTAAACGTTAGTTTATTACCGTTTAAAATATATTGGACCGGTGGCTTCGGCTGGTCAACGATACGCGGTTATTGGATTTTTCTTGTGGTTATGCTTTGATGGTGCAATATATATATTTAATATTTATGCAAATGGATGGAGATCCCATTCTTTATTCGGCTCAATCTTTAAGTAAAAGATTGGGCTGAATTTAGTTGCTGTTGGGGGACGGACATGATATCATATGCGTTATTATGAGAATAATGTCCTCACTCTAATAATCTGAAATTAGCATGATAATCAATGGCTTCCCAATAAAATTTTGCTAATTAAGCTTAATAATAGTTATGGATTTGGATTGCCAACTTGTCTGAAAAAATGGATTTGTCAATATGGTGTGATTTATGATTTGATAGCTACTTGAGAATTGCATGGAATTTTTTTTATCAGGTTAAAAGCCAAAATATTTTAGACTCCACTGCGAGTATATACTGTCTAATTACTACCTGGGGTAGAATCCAATCTTGGATTAACTTTAGGACCTCAAATTTGGGAGATGTCACTTCTTCAGGTCATAGACAATTTTAATAAAACATACTTGTTGCACTCCTTATGCTATTGAAAAAAATAATGTCTCAAGGTTGAATACAGATCATGTGATTTGTAGAAGGTGAGATTTAAGTGTTAGAAGATGCAAAATTTAAATTTTTTCTTTTGCGAATAAGTCTAATGATTCGTAGATGATTAGAAAAATTTTTAGTTGAACAAATACTCTCAAATAGGGCAAAAAGACCTACACGGGCGTGAGTTAAAGAGCAGTTTCTTTTTTAATTATTAACTTATTCATAGTTTAGTACATTTAAATATTGACTAATTACTAATATTTTGCTCTAAAAAGAGCTCACTCGATATATGAAGTTAGAAGAAATTTATGTTGTTTTGAAAATACTTCTATTATAAAACCTACAAAATGTAGTCCTACCATGACAAGTCATTAACTTGGGTCTCCCTCTTCTAGAATCACTTGATATTGTTATTGTTGTTATTATTATTATTATTGTTATTATTATTATTTTTAGTTATTCACTGATTAGTCGATCCAAGTCATCGACCTAGCCGACTCAAATCGGTGTAGTGGGTGGGTAATCCATAACCGCTTATAAAACACATGGATTTTGGATCCTAATCATTGCAGGTAATCACGAATCTGAAAAGAAAGAATTTTAAAGGGTGGCCTATTTTTTCAGCCGCATATTTTAATTTTTCGAAGATCATTTTTTTAAACTCCAAGACCCATGACAGGGGCATAATGCATGAGTTTACCTCCTCAGCAAATAAAGTTTCCAAGTCTGGAAAACATAATTTCCAACTTTCGGGTCCTAAACTTTTCAGGTGAAGAAGAAAATTTGTAGGTCGTATGGTCTAAACCACCAATCCAAAATAATTAAATTTTGAAAAGTAGTCTATTATCTTTTATTTTTTGAACCAATATTTTTAATTTTTCAAAGATCAATAGATGCATTTTTTGAAACTCAAATCCTGTGAAACCCAAGGCTGAAGCTTGAGTTTGCCCACTTAAACAAGTAAATTTTATAAAGGGAAAAAAACATACTCCCCTTCCTGTAATTATAGTCCCCAATAATGTATGCAAAACCCATAAACATCGTCTAATTAAGAGAAAATAACATTTAACCCTTTTTTTCTTTTTTTTTTATCACCACCATCATCCAAACCCTTAAAAAACTACTACTCTATTCTCATCACCTGGGACCCCTTCCACCCTCTCTCTCACACACCCAAGACCTGGGACCCCTTCCACCCTCTCTCTCACACACCCAAGACCTGGGACCCCTTCCACCCTCTCTCTCTCACACCCAAAATAAAACTCACAAGTAGCTTAAAGGTAACATGCCAAATTTTATTCGAATGATGTTATCATTAGAAAATAAAATAAATATCGTAATATGGTCAATGAAAAAGGTCAAGAGAGGTTAAAAGATCATTTTCTTTTAAATTGGAGGGATCCATAGGTTTCTTATGAACCAGAGCACTTATTTTAGAATACAATTATAGAGAGGAGGATATGCATCTTTCGCCCTTTCTCTAATCCTAAACGAGTCTAATCCCCATTGCAACTACAATTTTAAGTTTCAAAGACTCCCATTACTAAGAAGGGAAGCATGCCTTATTTCACCTGACAATATTCCCTCCATATCAAGGGAAATTGCCCCCATCATGAATCAGAAATATATGCAATGTCGCATAATAATCACATACATGGGCCATGATAATTCAAGCCTTTCTCTTCTCTCTCTCTTAAAAACCTAATCTCTCTCTCACCTCAGACATGAATTTTCCATGATCAACTGCAGTTAACCGCAATGGATAGATATAGTGTTGTTCTCTCAAAAACCCAAACTCTCTTTCACCTCGGACATGAATTTTCCCTGACCAAATGCAGTCAACCGCAATGGATGGATGCAAACTTCTCAAACCTATGGTGTTGTATAATATCTTGCCACAAGTCCAGCCATTTCTGCATGAACAGTTGAACCAGGGCAGGTTTTTCGGCATAGATTTTGAACCACTGTGAGTACATATTGTCTTCCTTCAGTGGACTTCCAAAGGGATTGAAGGATTTGTGGTGGGAAAACAGTTGCGGGACGAGCCCACCATTGGCACTGATTCACGACCATACCATTAAGACTGTAACATAAACATAAGTATTAGCTTTGTCAATACTAGCAAAATTAAAAGAGAAAACTACACTTGGAGAACCATAAACATGAAGTCATTTGTAGAAGGGGATATGATGAGGATGATCTTTTGTAACCAATATTGAAATGCATTTGGTTTTGAAAAGTTCATGAATTTTTTCAGATGATTACATCTTTTGAGAAGCCAATTGTGCAAAGATGCAAGTTATATTTCCAGAAATAATCCCAAAGGTCTTGTACGTGTCTAGTAGCTGCAAGTTGGTGGCTGGCAAAAAAATAACGATCACGGCCTTCTTTCCCCACTGTTTAGAGAGAGAGGATTTTGATTACTCCAGAAGGAATTGTTTCTAATACTCAAGAAGGCATTAAAAGTTTGAGGAAACCATCTGCTTCCCAACCTGGTGGCATTGTGATAAAAAACCTAAAACAAGAACATAGGGACTTACCCAAAAAAAAATAACATACATAGGGAAAGGATATAATACACATCCCCCGTGTCATGTGTCCAGTCCACATAACAGTTCATCCCCACCATCCATCTTGAGCAAAGATGGTGGATGCTCCGCATATACAATTGGACAGAAAATAAACTCTTAAGGAACCATTAAGAAAAATAACTGCAAGAGACAAATAGATATTCTTACTGGTTAAGAATTTGCAACATGTTTCCAAGCTCAGACAACATGAAGTGCACATCCACTGTATCTCCATCCCTGCTCACCACTCTATTGACTGCTCCATAAGTCTCACAGGTACTCAAAATCTTTATTTGCTTTGTTTCTCGACCGATATTTGAAATTCTCACAACTGAAGTTCTTGGGGCATCAATCCTGAGGATCTGTATCTGCTTTCCAGACAGAGATATTGTAGAAGCGGCGAGAGCTTTCTCTTTGGCATCTTCTGTCTGCAAAAGAGTGAGGACTAGAATTAATTACACAAGATATTGTGTGAGGAATACAATAAATTATGCTCACAACTCTGAAAAAGAAAAGTGTTTCACATATCTCTAAATAAATCCATTCTTTAACGGAATTATTAGCCAGGCCAAATGGGGCCTCTGAGAGTTGAGAGTTGAGAGAGAGAGAGAGAGAGAGAGAAGCCAGGCCAAATGGGGCCTGTGAGAGAGAGAGAGAGAGAGAGAGAGAGAGAGAGAGACGAGAGAAGTGAGAGAGAGAGAGAGAGAGAGAGAGAGAGAGGGGGAGGAGATTTTTCTATGTATAATAAAAGCAAGATTCCCACAAATTACTAAAAAATAATAATCTAAAAGCTAGCTTCTCTTTCAAGCATATCAAACCCCAGCAATAGTCTTTACTAAAAGAAAGTATGAAAGTTGTTTGTTTGAACATGTAAGCAAAACATTTGCAAAACAAAACCTTTATTTAGTTTTTGATTTAAAAAACAGAAAAGTTGTAATCAAAGTTGTCAAAAAAGGATAAAGTTTTCACCTCAAATTCAATATAACCAATAGATAAAGATGAACCCATAATGAATCTGGATATGGATCCAAAGTTGGAGAGAGAGAAACTGAGCTGGTGAGACCCGATACCGACAGGCAAACCTCGGACCATAATGGTCCGGACTGGATTTTCCAACAATGGCAATGGTGCATCAGGATCTCCAATCAAATTAGAAATAGAAACCATGTTCGTTATTTTTAGCAAAGGCGAATCTGCCTCGACAACCACATCAGCACCATTGATAACTAGATTGCTTTTCTCTAGAGCTCTTTGCAGCCCTTCTCCTCTCTGTCATAAAAATGATAGAATGAGAACGTTGGAATGTATATATACAAGAAAAATCAAACAAGAATCAACAGGACCACACAAAGATTGGTTAACTAAAAAGATTAACTAGATTCCCGTTACCTGTCAGTTAAAAAGCAAATAAATTGAAGCCCATCAGATCTTCAAAAGTAAAAAAGAAAGAAAAACTCACAGGAATCTTTTTTTTCTTTTCTCTTTTTATTGGTAAAGAAAGTACAAATCACAAACACTCAAGAGATTTTCCAGATACCCATCAGTTAGAAGTCAAATATCAGTTGAACCAGCCAATTCCTTAAAACATGGAAATAGTTGTGCATTCCACATTTAACTAGAATAAAAGTCAGATGTTTTGCATGTACATTGATGGTCTTCCTCCATATAGCTCCTATCATTGTGTATTTATTATTCCAAAAATCAGAGAGAGAATTCTACCAGGAATGAGACATAAGCATTGTTGAACCTAGCAGTAGCTTTCAATGATGGAATGATGCAGAGCTCTTCAATTTCTCCACAACCACCAAATGCTTTCCGAATATCAACATCCGTGGCTGACTTTGGCAAGAACTTCACAAATAGAGTGTTTTGACCTATTGGCCTTTTGGAGAAAGAAGGAAAACTTCTTTTGCTTGGTAGGGGAACAAAGGGGTCAGGTTCTCCATATTCTGAAGCTGCAACCTCAGAATCACTTAAATCCTCATCAGAATCAAATTTTTCGAATGGAACCTTCAATGGTCCATCATCTTTTATATCATCCTTAACAAAACTTTTATCTGGCTGGAGTTGTTTGGCACCATTATTAATGCCTGAGTCACGAATCTTCTCTTGCTCCTTGATCACATCAAAAAGCCTAAGTCCATCAATCATAGACTGCTTTATTGGTTTTCCAAATTTTGGCCCTGGCTTGACTTGTTTAGAATTATTATGGCCATTATTGTTCAGATCTTTAGCCAGTTCCTTGATCCGATCAAGCATAATCCAGATCCTATCACTGGAACCAGAAGCATTCCCCCTGATCCTACCACTGGAACTAGAAGCATTCCCCCTGCTTGTGCTTAGATTTGCAGTTATATCCTCATCAGAAATACCAGGAGAGGATTCCTCTGATAGGACTATTTCGCTCTTCTCATTTTCTAAGCAAATTTTCTTGGCCAGTTCATTAGAAAGAACATCATGGGGAATTTCAGGAACTTCAGCAGCTTCCTCAGCAATAGGTATTGGCTCACCGTCTGCAATATAGGGAGAGGATACAATTGATGGAAGAGGAACCTCAGGTCTCGTCTTCTCTTTCACTAAGCCAGGAGGGGATACAATTGATGGAAGAGGAACCTCAAGTCTCATCTTCTCTCTAACTACGCCGTGTGTTCTGGGTCCACAAGAAAGATTTCCATTTGGAGAGAGAGGTGTATCATGAGTGAGATCTTCATTCGAAGAAAGACTTTCATTTGGAGTGTTAGCAACTTCAGTAGCTTGTTGGGCTTCAGGTACTAGCTCACTAGATTTTGAATCATTTGAATTAGCATTTGTTTCTGAACATCTAGATATAGTGGTCTTTGCTTGACTAGTTCCTCCATCAATTTCAGTAGCTTGTTGGGCTTCAGGAACTAGCTCACTAGATTTTGAATCATTTGAATTAGCATTTGTTTCTGAACATCTAGATATAGTGACCTTTGCTTGACCAGTTCCTCCATCAACCTCTGCACTTGCGGTGGTTTTGTGATTCTCGAAATGGCTCACCAAATTTTCCTTGAGGTCCGAAAGTATGTTTTTCAAAATATACCATGACCCACCAACTTCCTGGTGAACTAATGTTGCTTTAGGGAATGTTCCAGGGTTCAGCATCATATATCTGGGGGAGACGTAAATAAAAACAGAGAAGCACGATTAGCTAAAGAGTAAGAAGTGGATTTATGTGCTAAGAATAGTTCTGTTGTAATTTTTTTGATAACTAATAAAAAGGAACTTCATTGAAGCTGTCCAAAACCATTTACAAGATGAAATTAAACAAACTGTTAAACAAGTGCAATCCAGAGATCAAATGCGCACCAATGGACATAATATATATGAACTAGAAATTCATGGGTTGTGTTAAACTTTATTAAATATGGAATTGAGAGAAACACATTTAACTTTTCTTGTCCAAAATGTCGTGGCAGTTCTGCATATGCTGATGTTAAAAATTAAAAGGGTTTGTAATTGTACACTACCAGAATCCCTTGAGGTCATGATCATCCAATGCATGATAGCTGGTGAGGATGTTTCATACTTAGTGTATCACTACCTTCACATATTAGCATTTCCTTGTTTATGGGCGTCCTTGTTTATGGGTGAGCTATATAAGTGGTCAGTCAAATTGTGTTTTTTGATACTGTTAACCGTTGTATTTAAAAAAGGAATAGAGCACAAAGATCCAGAGAGGGAACCCACATACCGGGCCTCTCGGCAAAAAATAAGCTAACCTTAGTAAGCCTATACAAAAAATGAGAAGGGCTTATAACATTGCCCATTACAGAGATGTACAAAAAAGAAATAAGAGAAACATCCGTTAAGAGTAAGAGTAAGAGTCCTGATGGGGAGGACCACAAAAAGCACAGACATACAAAAAGATAAGGCCGTGGTCAAAAAGCATGGGTCCCGAGTTCTACTATGGATCCACGGCCTGTGCGAGAGCTCCATCCTTAGCCATCTGATCCGCTAGGCCGTTTGATTCCCTCCATGAGATGGCTGTATCCCTGCACAAGTGTGAAATCTCATCGTAAATAGATGCAAGATACCAAAGCGATATGGCATGGCCGGCAGCCCAGGTAATAATATTCCGAGCATCTCCTTCCACTAAAATAGGTTGGCCCCACCCGGGGTCAAGCATTTTGAGGCCTGTGAGAAGCGCCAAGGACTCGGCTAGCAGGGAATCAGCGTGACCAATGTGTTTGGAGAATGAGGCCAGGATGTTTCCATGGTGGTCTCTGAAGACCCCTCCAAAACCTGCCGGTCCTGAGTTCCCAAGGGAGCACCCATCGAAGTTGAACTTAATAAGGCCAGCCGATGGAGAAGCCTAGCAGCCCGACGAGGTTGGAAGAGGAGGACTTGTTCCCAACTTAGTTGAAATGATGAGGTTAAATGCCTTTGAACGCCTTGTGATTAGAGGCCCAAAAGATAACCAGGGTCTTGATCTTGTGAAAAAGGGCTGGGACTTCGCTCCTAACTACTCGAAAAATGATTGAGTTCATTTCAGTCCAAATAACCCAAATCGTGGCTGCTATGGAGCCTGCCTGCCTTGGGCCAAGGAGGGTCCTCTGTGAGTTTGAAGAGGGCTGGGGCTGGCGTTACCCAGGACATTCCGGAGAGTTGAACGTAACTGCTCCACAAATTAAGTGTTGTATTACAATGGATGAAGAGGTGAGGGTTCTCTTGAAATTGTGTTTTGTAAAACCTTTTTAAGAAATTGGACTCCAATTGCATAAAACCATAGACACCCAAAACTCACCATCAAATTCAGGACATATTGACATAAATTTATGGGTATGAGTATCAGGTACTCATGAGCAGCCTGTTTTGTTTACATCTACTCGCTTTGTGCAAGACCAGGCTTTCCCTAACACTACAAAGAAGATGAAAATTGAAGCAAAAGTACAGAAATAGACATAACTCGATGCTATCTGCATAAATGTTACAAAAAGGGAATATCTAACCCAACGTGCATTGCATATGCCACATGTATATGTTTCAAGGAGGGACTGTGCTTTTGCTGCACTTTTTTTTTCTCCTCTTTTATGCCTCAAAAAGGAGTTAGGCTCTGGGCTTTCTTGGTTGAAATGCAATATTGGTGAGAAATCACAGGGAAAGCAACAAGCAATCCTTGAGCTTTCAATCTCCCTTGATTACTCTCAGATTTTTCTCGTGGTATAGGTTTTCTCCCTCTGCTCTCTATGCTCTGGGCATGCTCTTAGGCAAATGATTTTATCCTTTCATAATTTATCTCTTGATGCCCTTTTCTCTAAGGAAAAGGGTATCTATAAACCAAGAAAAGGCAAATTAGGGTTACCCGCCTTGGAAAACTTGAGAGGCAAGATTGGGGCAAAACCTCTCCAAATTACATCAAAATGTCCATGATTTCTTTAGGGGCTGGACTGTGTAGTTCACACCACTGGCAGTCTGGCAGCTAAACTTGAAGTGTGGGGTGTTTTGTTTGCCCAACTTGACTTATTTGAGGTAGCTTCGGTTGGGATATGGATATATTGGGTTCATATTGATATACATCATTATGGATGTATATGTATATACCTCGTTAGGTATCTAAAAGATATAGACCAAGTTACTTGGTCATCAAGTTATCATACCATATTTATCTCATGTAATTGTGTGATTGTTCTCTATATATAGAGGTACTTATTGATGTAAACATTCATCCAAATAATGAAGATGTAGTCACTTGGGCTTTGAATCCGTGGACGTAAGGCGTCGGCCTGAACCACATAAATGTTGTGTTCTCTCTTCTTCTCTCTCCATTCTATGCTCCCACGTTTTTTAACATGGTATCAGAGCAATAGACTCCTCGGCTCAGATCTGTGATCGCCGAACTCAGACATCAACTCCTCGGCTCAGATTTGAGCTCGTCGACCTTAGACTCCTCAGCTCAAATCTGAGCTCGCCAACCTCAGATCCGAGGTCGGGAAATTTCAGTACCCTCTGGCTAGCTCTACTGTTGGCTCAGATTCATGCCCATCATATTTTCTCTCTCGCCGCAACCTCTTTGCCCTAGCCACTTACTGTCTATTTTCCAGCCATTTTTTACCCTCCTTGACATCACCTACCTCTCTCTATAACTGTTTCTAAACAAGCACCGTCTTTTCTATTTTCTCTCACGTCCATCTCTTTCTCACACAACCTTTCTCTTTCCCATCTTCTCTCTCCTCGCGAACCCGTATTTTTTACCAGAGAACACAGGCATATCAGCTGCATCGTCTTTATCCTCTTTTGCAGGCTTTTCTTGGTCTAATTCAGTTGATGGAGAATATGGGTCATCCTCAAGAAAAGAGAGTAAATTGTATCTCTTCTACTCATCGAAGCTATTCACAATAGAGCCGTAACTGTGGGCATCCGCTCGCCTCGCCTCCTCCAAAACTCTGTGAAACCCAGCAGCCATCAACTCTGAATTCCCCTTCCTAAACTAGGGCAGCCCCGGGCTTCCACCACCATGTACCGCTTGTCCTGCACCAGTGCGTTGTGCGCAACGCAAAGTCCTTTCTTCCCCCTCGCAAATCTGTCGCATCCCCCTTGTTGCTCTTGGGGCCTACATCCGCCGTCCAATCGCGCACGGAAAAGGCCCAGTCCAAATCGAACCGTTTGATCACCCCGAAGACAAACCCTTCCAAGAGATGAAGAGAGGATAAAATCTAAAGAGAGAGAGTCTCCGTGGTTTCAAATAAATCCCTGCTTTTCATCTGGTGGTCCATAGGGACCACATCAAAACTCTTCTTTTATGCCTGGTCTTGAGAAACAAATATCTTTCTAATGGTGATCAAAGAGAGCTTCGTGCATATACCTAGGCTTGAGAAATATACGTGCATATCCATTATTATATGGTTCTGATGGTGATCAAAGAGCATAGCTCCGTGGCATTGTTACTATATCTTCTTTTTACGAGCAAGGGACTATCTCGTCGACAAAGACAACGCCTAAGAAGTTGGGACTTATCGGCTCTGATGGTCAAAAGTATACCTATCTTCTACGGGCCCAAGAAGACCTCCGCCTTGATGCAAGAATTATGCAGTTATTGTAAGCTATTAATGGGTTTTTGTCATCTGGCAGTGTTATTATGTGCACGGGTTTGGAGCCAAAGTCTCTTCGTTTTGGGGTTGTTAAAAATAAAATAAATAAAAAAAGGTGGTATTTCTTTTAAGATGTGAATGTTGAACTTCCTCAGCTCAATTTCATTGGCATTTTTTTTTATATGATTGTACTCAAAAGAAAAAACATAGTTCCGTCTCTAGAAGATGATGGAATTTCTCGATCCTGGTTGATGATTAAGAGTTCTATCTCCAGATGAAGATGATCGAATTTCTTGATCCTAGTTGATGATCAAGTTTTCCGTTACTTGATCCCGTTTGATGATGGAGTTTTCCGTTGCTCCATCCTGTGATGATCGTCGAATTTTTTGGTCCTCGATCCCGGATGTTCTCAAGAAAAGAGAAAGAAATATCCTTTTCTTTTAGAGAGAGAAAGCCTTTAGAAATAAAAGAAGCCTCTGAAGAGAGAAGATCTTTAGAGAAGAAAGTAGAGAGCCCAAGAAAGGTTGTTTCTTGAAAGACTATGGTAATCTGTGAAATTTATCATGGATTTGATCACTACTCATTTTTTTTGGCAACTTAGTATTGTTCAAACTCCAGCTACTTAGTGTCAAAGCATCTTAAGTTTGAGGGGAAGTGTTGGGATATGGATATCTTGGGTTCATATTGATATGCATCATTATGGATGTATATGTATATACCTCGTTAGGTATCTAGAAGATAGAGACCAAGTTACTTGGTCATCAAGTTATCATACCATATTTATCTCATGTAATTGTGTGATTGTCCTCTATATATAAAGGTACTTATTGATGTAACATTCATCCAAAATAATGAAGATGTAGCCAGATGGGCTTTGGATCCGTGGACGTGAGGCTTCGGCCTAACCCACGTAAATGTTGTGTTCTCTCTTCTTCTCTCTCCATTCTATGCTCCCACGAATTCTAACAACTTCATGCCAAATTTTCTTCATCAGATGATGGGGAATTGAGTTGGGTCTCTCATGACAAGAATCCTTAGCAAAAAAACTCTCAAATAGTGAAGTTTCCAATTGATCGAGCTTGGTTGCCCATTGTGCAGCAGACCCACTTTGACCCTTGATTTGATCTTCAATTCGCTTCCTGATCTTGGAATGACTCATCCCAATGTTTATGTGTTTGAAGAGCCATGCAAGAGGATCACTCTCACCAAATTTCAGCTCAGAACTCTCGAAGATTAAGGCGAAAATAAGCACTGGAGGTCTAGTGCTCCTCGGCCCTGCTGTAGATAGCCAGTCTGCTAAATAATCGATGGTCTGGGTGGTGAACTTTGGCTCTTTTAAAATTGGGTCAAATGGTGTCCAAATGACCTGAATTGGAAGGGAAGATTGAAATCCTCTAGATTAAATACCCACCAAGTTTCATCTTGGTCGGATGAGCTCCCTTCATGGTGACCCAATCAACAGGCCCTTCAAACCAGTAGCATTCTGGCATTTTGCGAAGGAATATACCGCCGGAATATCAAAACTTCATCATTTTGAGATTTTTAAGTTTTGTTTTTTTGTCTGAGGAAGTTAACCTTTGTATTATGTAGAGGGAGGGGTTCTTTGATGAGATATTTCAGATCTCCAATAGTCCATCCTATAAAAGCAAGTATACTGCTCAGTTGTCCAAATTTGCTGAAAATTGGCAACAAGGCTTTCCCCAGCCTGCTTTGAAGATCACCTAAGTTCCATTCCATTTGGGGACGATTTGATATGGTTTTGGATAGATTGGCGGTCTGGCTAACATAGCATCTGAGCCATCTGACTGTCCATATGTTCAGCCTTCCTAGTTGAGCCTGGCCCTATGCGGTATGTAGGCTGTGGAAAAGCTGAGGTTTTCACCCCTAGAACTTTATGCCATGTTAGATATGTTCTCGTGTCTGTCGATTTCCAAGGCTTCGTGCCAGGTTTGGTATGATGTATCTCTAGCCTTTTGTTTTGATGCCATGTTAAGTTGTGTTTGATTTTCATGTCAGCAAACTAAACTAAACAATAAGTTGGGAATATTGAGTTCTAAAAGGACTATTGACATGGTAATGGGTCGCTATCCAAGCATTATTGCAGAATTTATGTGAATAGGATTATTTTAGCTTGATATACTCATGGAAAGAAATAAGGTGGACTTGGGTTCTAAATTTAGGACAGGCTTAAATATCATAATATGCAAATTTGCATGACTAGTGAAAGAGGAAAATAAAGGATTTGAACTCTAAAACCTGTGATGTTTTCATGTCAAGTGCATTAATTTAGCACTTACCGGTGTTTTTGAGGCTCCATTCCATAAAAGCCGTTGTGAGGTGCCCATGTTCCCCAAGAGTTGCAGCATTTGGGTCACTATAGATGCTGGATAAACTTTTAATCTGGATTAGGATTTTTCCTTTTTTGAGCAGTTGACTTTCACAAATGTGAAGAAGTATATACTTATTTGCTACGTACACAGTGTAGAGAGAGAGAGAGTAGAAAAATGATCAAACAAGTGAAAGATAGTCCGACAAGAACAGATGGATACCTTACTGGCATCCGCAACATGATGTCCACATTCCTTAAATATAATTTTCTCAGAGCTTATCTAATACCATTCAAAAGAATATCCTTCACTATCAAATGAACCTAAGAATGAGTACATTTTTTTTTATATAATATAATGAACAAATGACTACATAGATATTGAGATTGGTCACAAGGGATTCACCTCCGCTAGGGTGTCCCACTCACTTGTAGGCCTGTTCTCACCTTCACTACGGTGTCCCACTCACTTGTAGGCCTGTTCTCACCTTCACTACGGTGTCCCACTCACTTGTAGGCCTGTCCGACCAAATCTACTCTATCTCTAATCAAAATCCTCACCCCAGAAGAGTTAAGATTAGCACAAGAACTTCGATAAAGATTAATTTGAACTAAGGTTTGTGGGTCTACCAATAAACCAGTAGAATAAAGCTAGAAGAGAATTGCATACTTTTTCATTTTTGTTCTCCACATGTGAACCTAGTCTACAGCTTTGCGCTAAGGAATTCCACCTACACAAATGACTAGGCAAAAATATTTTACATAAACTGTTCAGTTTGATATTGAAGAAACACCACAAATCTTTATTCTTTTCTCTTTCAAAGTGCCCTAGAAGATCACCAAAGGACATAATGTCTATTGAGTTTAACCCGCCAAGTGAAAAGGGATAGATTCCCAGAATCACAAATCAGGAATTGGTTACACTACATGGGCCACAGATCCTGAATGCTCGCATTATAGCTAATCAATGTGAAGATTCTATGAAGAATTTTATATCATTGAGACATCATCCATATGGTACGAGCATCTTTCTTGGTTTACTTTATGGGTTCTCTAAGCTAAAATCAAACAATTTTATCTTACCATGGTCATCGATGGCTTTCAAAATGGAAGAACCAAGTTAAGTGTGCATAACTGTCTGAGGACCCTTCATCTTTGAGGGCAGCATAGCACAAAAGAGTATTCCAGATTCTGCATTCTATAGTGAAGGACTTCATTAAGCATATTAGGTTGGTAGAATTTTGCAGTTTCTCAGAGCAAAAGACTTGGAAAGGATAAGCATTGGATCTTCGACAGAATCACTAGCAGCCTCTGATTGTGAAAGGTGATCCCTACGGGGCTTGTGGCAAAATTCTGATAATGACATTTTCGAGGAGATTGAAGATTTCCAACATTTCTTCCTAATATGTTTAGGAATTGTAATGGATAAACCAATAAGATTGTTGTTGCCTTTGAGTATCGACGGACTTTGAGGCCATGAAAAACAAGTTAATACACCGGGAACATAACAATCATAGGAATGGATACTACACCCTGTTACCCACAAACCTGATCTCATGACCTCATTCCTGACAAAGCTGTCAGAATTAGTGCTACCAGTAGTTCCTTTCAGAGATCTTGTTTGAGATAACTCCTCCAATACATCCCAATACAGATCGGTACTCAGCAGCAGGAGAGAAAATATTTTATTGGTATGTAGTGGAACAGATTTTTGGGAAGAGACAAAAATTCAGGTTGAGCTTGCAGGTTAATTTATTTTTAAGGTGGACAGGGAGTGACACATTGCTCACAACTTCCTTTTTTATGTCTCTTGTTTTAAAGTACAAATTTCTTACTACTTTGATGGGCATCAACTAGCATAAAATGCATTGTATTTGCTAAGGAGGCTAGTCTTTTGTGATTTACACAATCAAAATGCCCTCTTCTTGGTCATCAAGACTAAATAACTTACTCTTTATTCATTCAATTCTTCTTGGATATTCCAGGGATAAAAAAGACATCATATATCTAAGAAAACACATTCAAACTTCAGAGTGCAACCTTTACTCAGCTGAGGTACTCCGACCCCGCAGGGTGCCATGCAGGGTTCGAGTAACAAACCTTGGGAACCAAGTTTCAACGGTTCCTGAGGTTTCTTTGTTATTTTCTAAGCTGAGTCCAACTCAGACCCTGCTGTATTTGACCGTCTGACTTAGACCTAGGCCCTGCCCAGTCCAAGTTACACTCGAACACATCAAGAGTAACAAAGAAGACTATTGAAGGTACATTAATTGAGTTCAAGCTAATGGGGTTATTCATATAATGGCTGAGAACAAGTGCCTACTCAACATTCAACCATTTCTTAGATCTTGACCATAATAAAAGAAGGAAAAAGTTTACATAAGGTGCCAACTTTATACTGTACGGGTAAGGTGCACCTAAGAAACCAACTAGAGAAGGTCTTTCTTATGCTGGAAAATCCTCAAATTGATCATCTCGACCTTGCGATGCATAGACATAAAAAAAGGAGATTTCTAGTCCTAAAAATAGTTCATCTGCTAACACATTATCTAGACCGTCCATTTTCAAGATTTTCAACTATTTATAGATCTGCTTGATCGTCACCAGTTTTGAAACTTTAAATTTCATAATTGGGGACAACAATAGATTTTCATATCATTACAAGGCTTTGCAGTAACAAAACTGCATTTTCAACAAAGTTTTGAGGTGCACCTTACTTCAATCGCATAAGGTCGATACCTGATACAAACCTCACCCATAAAAGAAATAGAGGAGATCCAATTTCTTAAACAACGCAAGTAACTCATCAAAGGCATGCAATAAGCTATAAATGTAATCCTATACAAACCATAGTTCCAGAAGGAATTCATAAGAGCAAACTACAAAATCCAATCTCAAAAAACTCAAAAAAAGTAATAAAAATCAGTTTCTTCTCTCAAGCAACCTGATACTCAATATCATCTTTCCCAAAGATGTAAAGTTAACAATAAAAAGGAAAATATCATCGCATTGAGACAGTGATGTTCAGTTTTTCCATTGATTCCATCTATAGTTTTACACAAAAGCATTGAAAGTAGAATGGGAAAAACTAATAGAAAACAAAAAATTGAATGAAAAATTAAAGACCCCAAATATGATTCAAGCTAAATCCATGAAATTTATGGATTTAGAGCGTTACTTCTTTACAAATGTTTTTATAGCTAGGGTTCTCTGCTCCTTTGCTTCTTCAGTCTTTTTTGTTTGCCTCTTTTTACCAGTTGTTGTTGCAGTACAAAGCCAGCAATTAGGCGTCGCAGTTCCTGCAATACTCTCCATTCTTAATCCGAAATGCTTCATAGAGTAAAAGCACAAAAAATATAAACATGGAAGAAACAAGAGAAATGTGAAAATGATGGCATGGGTAGAAGAGAGAGGAATAAACAGTTCCTTTTAAAGGGTTTAGAGAATTCAATCATCGTTTAGAGAGAGAGAGAGAGAGGTGCTATTCATGGGGCCCTGAGAGTTAATCCAGAGAGAGAAAGATGGGTTTTGAGAGTTGACCTTTATTCTGAAAGTGGAGTCTAGAGGCTGCTATAGATGTACGAGAGAGCGCCATTCTTTCTCTGTGTCCGAGCTTCTCTCTCTCCTCGTTTATCGGGAAACAAAATACAGTGAAGATCAAGAGATATGAGAGGGAAAACAAATTAAATAGGAGTGGCCGCTCACGCGCCAAGTGAAAAGAAAAGCTTTCTCGCGGGTTTGGGTCCAAACCAGACCCGAATACTATTCAGGTCCGGATATGGGTCCAGTTGGACCAACCTATACTCAATAAATTATTGGAGATAAAAGACTTCAAGTCCTGTTCATTTTGATGTATTAAATATAATATACAATAAGAACTGATACTCATATGTAGTTATTAAACGACAAATCAGATGATTTGAAATCCAGATGATTTGCGACCTTGTTGCCAATGATATGGATATATGAGGGTAAAAAAAAAAGCTAAAAAAAAAAAAAGCTCATCATAAGGGTGGCAATAGACAGGACCAAACTTGGGGCCCAATGGGATAGATCTAATATCTGACGGGTACGTGTATGGGTCCAACTTTTGTACCCGACGAGTTTGATTTGGGTTCAAAACTTAGACCTAAATACTATTCGGATTTGAGTCTAGGTCGAACGGGACCCAACAAGTACCCAACCCATTGCCACCCCTAGTTTAAATATAAAACTATTGTTCAAAAGCTTGGAATGGGGGATGAATCGATGGGGTGATAGTTCGATCCGGATCGCCTAATACCCTAAAAATCCCATGAAAAAAATATCTCATGCAGTTGGGAATATTTTCATGCCCATTGATCTCAATACATCCACACCAATTGATAAATTATTGATGTAAAAATATTCTCACAGTTAACCACATACAAGAATTTGTTTCACGTGAAAAAATATTTTCACGCGAACCAAAAGTAATCAACCCAACCATCGCGTTACACCGAAACACCCAATTCTCATTTAACCAAACTAGATGCTCAGTAAAACGGATCCTCAAAATGATAAGCTATTTTCTTAAAACCAAAAAAAAAAGTATTAAAATTGTTAAATCATACAAAAATGTGGTCCAATTAACCAAGTTTCAGCCAAGTGGTTACCTTAGTCTTTAATAAGATTATTTCAATCAAGTGCATGCTTGCATGTGGGCATCCTTCTCGTGGGAGAGAGGGGGCAGATTTCAAGTTTAAAAAATCTTGGGTATAATCCACTTCCAAATTTAAGTATAAGAAATCTCAAGGGTTCAAGTAAAAATTTAAGGGTTAGAGGAGAAGGATGCTCACCATCTAAGCCTGATCCAAGCCACTAACTCTGACTGTCGGGCCTAAGGGTCCATCTCTTACCAAGCAAATAGTTCTTTCTTCTTTCTCATAAAATATTAGTTGTTTATCTATGAAACTCTTTCATCCCAAGCTTTTTGATTCTTCGATCTACCTTATAAGCTTTCTTGCTTTTACATGAATCCCAAAACTACACAGTTGATGATGTGTGGGAAAGCGGCCTGAAATGGTTCATGTCCTGTACATTTTAATGCGACCTGCCCATACTTGTTTCATAGCCATGAAATAAAGAAAATGTGTAACTAATGATTTTAAGGGTTGGAAATTCTAGATAAAATGACATCAAGCCTTTACAAATGTATTTTGTTCAATGCAATAAAAATAAAATAAAATCTAATAATGGGATTATGTTCGATGTATCTTTTTAAAAGATGTAGGTTACAAACTATGTCAATTGTAGAATTGTCAACAAGCCATGTTTGGGCTGGGCCAGTCCTGGCCCGAGCCCATCCCAAAATAGGGTAGTTTGGCTAGGGTCCGAAGTGTTTTGATTCTATCCTAACATTGGACTGGCCTGGATTCATGATAACAAGGCTTGAACCCTGCCTTGACTAAAAAAAGCAAGCCACGCCAAGCCGGACGCATGCTAGCTCGGGTATGGCCCAAAAACATTTTGAGCCTACTAGGTCCAGCCCAACCCAGGCTCACGGGCATCAACATGTGGCATGAACCTGGCCTGGCCCAAAATCCAGCAGGCCAACCAGGGCCAGTTTAACAAGCCTACTCAATTGGGTGCAAGGAAATGAGGAACAGGCTAGCGCCTAGGATTTTGTTAATGATGCAAAGATTCACATGGTGGGTTTAGAACAATGGCTTCATTTTGGTGTTTGGAAAAACTGCCGATTCGGATGGGAAATCGCTTATCCAAATTGTTTACAGTTAGTGGATGATCTGATCCCGTTGTAACTTCTTCGATTCGACAAAACTGTTTTTTTACTTATTTTCCCAATTTTTCACTGCTTGAGCTGATCCAAATTGGTGCGATCCAGGACCCAGCCAATTCCACAATCCGGATTCTAAAACACCAAGTTGTTACTAAAGAAACCACAATCTTAGTGCATTGTACGAATGGTAAGATTTCAGACAATCCTAGAGAGAGAGAGAGAGAGAGAGATTTCTGCATTTTTCACCAAAGCTCAAAGATATATATACTGATCCTACTAGAGCATATTATTTGCTCCCTTAGGAGTATCTTTTGGACTCCAAATTTTGGGGATGCAAATTTTGATCCTGGGGACTAACCTCAAAAAGAAAAATTCAAATGTCACACTCTATGTGCTTGTAATAAACACCATACCAAAATTGAACAAAGGCAATTTAATCTTTGGAGAGCATGATGTAAGTGTTGAAAAACTCCATATTCATTTTTCCTCTTTAGGAAACAATCTAGTGATTCTTGGGATGATCGCAAAATTTCATATGAAAACAATCTTACCGAGTAGCTTTTTTGCCCAAGGGTAACTCCGAGGTTTTTTAACAAAGGGATTGGCGACTCGAATTAGTTACACCCATATCCATGTCGAATCGAAGAATCGGCAGATCGGATCAGAGAATAGACGAAATTGACAATTTTTGCCTCAATTTTTTTTTAAAAAAAATCACTATAAATTTCTAAAAATAATGTTCTTTTAGTTTCTAAAAGAATTTAGGAGTGATACATTATGTACTTTAATTACTTTGTAAAACTAGGTCAATACTGAGACATTGTTTTCCTTTTTGGGTGTCTATATTATAATTAATCACAACATAATATATAATATTACATCAATATAATTTAAAAATAATAGAAAACACTTTCATATTATAAGAATAAAAAAATAATTTCTCAAGTAAAATGAAATTAGTATCACATCAAAGTAACAAAAATTTATTAGTTCACTTACTATTCCTAAATTATTACAACCTAACTAACATTAATATTATATACTAAAATTGAAATTGTTGGTTTACATTTTATAATTATTTTACTATACAAATAATAACAAATCCAAAATATCTTATAATATCATCTAATTTAAAATATATTACTGACAACTGTAAGAAAAATAATACATTAAATAATTTATAATGTAAATACATTAAATAATTTATAATGTAAATAAATTAATAAATAAAATACAAGATTTGGTTATCAATGTAGAAATTATTAGAATACGTATCAAATTTCGAAATCACAATTTAATTTTTCAAAAATCTAATTTTTTAGATTTCTAGAATAAATTTAGTGGAAAAGACTGTTAATAGAGAGAGAAAAATTTTTCATGGCCTCATTATATGAACCATATCTTTAAATTAATATTTCTAAATTTATGTTAAAAGCCACTATGAATATTTCTAAGTTTATGTTAAAGGCCACCATGTTATTAAATATATATATATATAATTCAACCATTTATTTATAAATAAACAAAATCTAACAATAGACATTAATATAAGAGAGAGAGAAAGATAACATGCCCCAGCCTCGAGTGGTCGAATGATATTGTGGACGGTGAATGGGACGAAATGTCCCACATCGTTAAAATAAAATAAGTTCAACTTAGTCTCCTCAGTAGGAGGAGGAATTTTGCTCATTATTGAGCAGTGCACGTAGCGCTAGGTGCCATGTAATAAAAAGTACTTGTGCACGAATGCCTTAATAATGTTCAAAGAAAATTACAAAAATACCAAAAAGTTACAAAAATACGCTCCTTACCGACCGATTTACTATGCGGACAAGGGGCAATCCCATTTTATTGTTAGGATTCGAAACTGTCCAGCCAATACTCGATCCAGATCGGATCACCAATTTTTTGAACACGTTTTTTGGGGCACTAATTTTCCTTGACACTTAAATGGAATGAAGTTTGTTCTAGTTTTCCTTCATAATGAGACACTTCAATGGAATGAAGTTTGTTCTGAACCCATGGTTACCAGTCTAAATTGTATGTTGCCTTTTTCAATTTTATGAAACACTAATTTCAATATATGATGTGGGACTTCAATGGAATGCAATTTGTTATGAAACTATGGTAACTTACAGTCTGTGTACAAGAAAACACGGCAAGCCATACCCCTTAGTTTTGAACAATAACATTAGCACGCCATACCCCTTGGTTTTGAATAATAACCTCAAACTAGTTCTTGAGTGGATGGAACAAGTGTGAAATTGTGCCATTGAGCATAATTTGTTATACAAAATAGAAAGTTATACTCTGTGACATCCTTATGAGTCTTTCAATGTCTCATCTCCTGAAAAATTTGGACAAGAGATAGACTACAAAGAAACATAGGAGTGCAAATAGAACAACATGGACAACATGGTTTGAACCCTGCTGGATAATACTCTTGTTCAATCTTCTCATGTTGTTCTTTAGGCCCGCTTGAGCTTTCATCAATGTCGTTTGCTATTTAAGAAAATCACAGCAGAAGAGAAAATAAATGTCACTTTTCTGCAGCATAAGCAGGAATGATCATATCAATGAAATATGCATAGACAAACATCTAATAAGATAAGTCGATAAATATCACATTTTATTTGGGAGCCATGCCTGAATAACTACCATCTCCAAATTGTTCAAGCAAAAAGATGGAAGTCCTCTCCTTCATCAGTTGAAAAGTTAACCCTTTGAAAGGTGAAAGAAAATATCGTAGACTGAAACTCTCCACCTTTGAGATGTAACACAAGTTTCATAATATGGTTGGGAAAAGTATGTTCCCATTTTTACAGCCAACAGATCAATTGGCCACCTTGGTTGCTCCCACACAGTTCAATCTCATGTAAGAAGCAATGGAAATGGAAATAAATTTGATCGCACTCCTAATCCAGGCTGTACAGCCTAGGCCGTCAAAAGATCAAGGGCTAGTGAAGGATGTAAGCTGCACGTAGTTGCATGATTTGGCTGAGGAAAAAGGTTTGGTATGATTCCCTCAATTCATTAATGAGGTCATTGGCAAGTTTTCAAGAACCAAGAATATGGACATTACAATCCATGTTGCTTAAAGACAAACAGCATAACCATTATTAACCTCTAAACCACCCAACTTAGAGTATTGCAACTGAGCCTTAAGTAATAGCTATTAAGTATACTACTTTGAAAAACTGAGTAGCAAAGCAACACCTCCAAAAATATTTCTTAGATAAACTCAATGGAGCGGCTCACTGCCATTGAGACAACTCGTTTTACTTGATAAGGCAGCAGATCTGGCCACGTTCAACCGGAACTAAGACCCCAGACAGTATTTTCGAATATTGAAAACAAAGAAAAAGGCCCCAGTTGCGATTCTACCGAACATCTAGTTCATCAGGTTCAGATTGAACCTAACTATACCAATGCTATTTTAAGGAATATGCCCCTAGGCAGGCGCATTTTCCGTTTTTACCATCCATCTTTTTGGTTAAAAATGCTTCTCCCTCTAATTTCTAAAAATGAAAGAACACCTCTAAACCAGAGGGCCAGGGAGTAAAACTTGATTAGCACTTCCTGTTTCTCAAACAAATCCCGATATTGCAGACTCCACTTAATTCATGAAAAAAAAAACCAATCTAGCAGACTCCATTCTTGTTGTAATGCATTATATTGCACCTAGGCGATGGTTTACTCATGTGTCAATGAAATTTGGGTAGAGGCGCACCATCTCTCGTGTAAATACTGCAAGTAAACTAAGAATGGAACACAACAAGTCCAAGAATTATGTGGCAGACATAATTATTTAAGGCATATGGCTGCTTCCATCATCTTGGTAGTGCGAATCTGGTTTCTTGGACTACCATGTCCAAGATTCTTTATAGAATTTGATCTGGCATAAGCGACATTGTTGCTTGGGACATCCTACTCTTGATCGTCTTTGGTACATACCTGCTTTTGACATACTTCTTTTTTTTTATTGATTTGCTTCTGGCATACTTAGCTATGTTGTTTGTTTGGTCGACTCTCTTCATCATAACTCTTACAGAGGATAAATATCAAAAATTCAACCCTCTAGAATTCATTTCAAATTTCAACGATGAGGCTTCAAATTAAGCTCAGCTGACTCCATGAGTCTCTTTTCTCGAGGTACATTCATGTTCAATATAACATGTTGCCCATAGTTGTTGTTGCAAGCAGAAAAGATCCCTAAGATTTTAAGGTTACATTTTTCCTCAGCCCCTAAGATTTTAAGGTTACAATTTTCCTCAGCCTGCCAAGCACACCCCTTTGCAAGAGCTGAACTTAATGTGGATAACAGTAGCGGCCAGTTATGGTTCACTTTTCCTATTGGCATCAGCAGACATGGATCCTAATTTCATTTAGAACACCAGCCACCTTACCTAAAAGCCAGTCAGAATGGACAAAAACATGGTACTTGAGGGAAACTTTCCAAAGCCGGCCCTTGAAAGACCTCCAACAATCTAGAAGGTGCATCTAAAAGGCACCATCGAATATTTAGTAATGTAAATAATACGCTTTAGGAGGATTTCTACACATTCAATAGCAATCTGCCAACAGAATCTCCTAAACTTAAAACAAAAGTCCCATATGATGCAGGTACAAGAAACCATGAAAGCACATTCAGTACAGATGTTTCATGCAGCATGAACAAGAAAATGACATGCCCATTTCACAAAATTATAACAACGAAAACTGTAAAAGTGCAAAACCTGAAATATAGTATTTATTTTTCATTGGACTATAATATTGCATTTGGGAGCTTGATCATACATTTCCCAAGCTAAATTTGACGTTTTTGTCAAGCTTCATTCTTTGCCGGATGGAAAACCAAGTCTATGGAGAAAGCAGTATAGAATAGCATTTAAAATTTAGAATTAATGGGCCAACTCTTTTTATTTTTCTTGATAAAATTGCTGGTATATTTAATTTGAAATAAATACAAACTTATAATCACAAAACCAGTCTAAGGCATTAGACACTATAGAATAGCACCAAAAATTTAGAATTGATGGGCCAATTTTTTTATTTTTCTTGATAAACTTGCAATTTAACAATAAATACAAATTTCCTTTATAGTCACAAGTTCAAGCTTGTTTTAACTAAGGAACACTTTTTTTTTTTCTAATATGAAATATCTGAGTACCTTAAAGAAAATATTTGACAATTAGCGCATGGGTTCTCTCAAGTTTTCACCTTTAATCTTATAGTCCATCAAAACAAATACCTTCAAACCTTATGTGTCTTTAAATGTTCTGTCATGTCAATTAGCAATCCTTTGAAAACTATACTAGATTATTAAGCCAGAGTTAAGGGATGGACACGTGTCACAAAAATAAAAAGGGCCCTAATCTATAGAGATTGTAGGACACATTCCTAACTTCAGGGTAAGAGAGATGGAATAGGCACTTATTTTAGGATAACTAAATTTGAGAGAGAAAGAGAGAGAGAAGTACACATTTTTAGCATGAGAGAGAGTAGGGTAACATTTCTTAAGTTGGGAGAGAGATGTGATTGATTTTTAGCAGGATAGAGAGTAGGATAATGTTTCCTTAATTATTGATATGGAGAAGAAATTTAAGACAGGTTTCCCATTTTAGGGGAAGAAGAGTGAGGTCATATGAGAGAGGGGGAGAGAGGGGAGAGAGAAAAATATGTGAGAGATGAAATGATTTTCTAAAAATTTCTCTCTAGATAGGCATATAGAGACGTCTTTGCACAAATACGATATAGAGTGGCTAATTAAAAAATCTCTTCTTTTTCACATATATGATATAGAGTTGTTTCTTAAAAAATCTCTCTAGGCAACGTCTTTTTTTTTGAGAGGTATGGGGTATGGTATAGAGAGAAATACGAGAGAGAGATGGTGAAATGGTGAAAGAAATAAAAGATTTAAGAAAGATAAATTCGTGAGATATACAGGGGAGAAAAAGTAGGAAAGTAAATGACAAAGACATGACATAGAAGATATTTTAGAAGAGAAAAAGTACGAAAGTAAATGAGAAAGAGAGATGACAAAGAAAGGATACGTGAGAGAGAGGGGAAGAGAGAAAATTACGTGAAAGAGAGAATAGTTTACTAAAGACGCCTTTCGAAAAGGTAAACACATTTTGAGAGAGTAAAAAAAAGACTATTCCTACCGATAATGTAGCGCAAGTTCCTTAAGACAGAAAGAAAGGGCAAGAAACAAAGGCCTTAGGCCTTTATAAGCAAGGTTTAGAGTCACACACGATTTTCAGACGTGATTTTTCATATTATGAAAACTCATTTTCAGGTGGTGAAGATATACTTGAAGCCTTAAGGTGGTGAAGATATATGTGAAACCTGAAGGAGAGGAAAGTTGAGTTGAAAAGGTTGGAATATTTGCTCTATGTATATGGGCAAGAACATTAGAGAGGTACTTATCAAAAAAAACAGAATATTAAAAGTTAAAATTAACTCTCTTCCAATTGGCTAATTTGAAAGGAAAAATATTACAATTAAGTCTCAAGTTCAAATGGATCTTGAACTCTACAGTTTTTTTTAGGATGATATTGAACTCTAAAGTTTGAAAATTGAAGTTGAAATCGTATTTGGAATAAAATACTTATACAGGGGGCATATTCACATTCAAAGCATGCGTCCTAATCACACATAAATAAAGTATATAACAAAAAAGGCATCTTCTACGAAATAAAATGCCAAATGCATGTTATTATTTAATACTTATTCAAAAAATACGAATTTTATGACTATACTTTTAAAAACTCATTTTTTTAAAAACTACAGGCGATATTAAATATAATTATGCATTAAAATTTACAATTAAAAATAAAAAGAACTAATAAACCAATTTAAATCTTGAATTCTTTAAAACTATAGGTGATATTAAATATAATTATATATTAAAATTTACAATTAAAAATAAAAAGAACTAATAAACCAATTTAACCTGAGAATGTTTTTAGTAGGTATATCATATTAGTAAAACAACAGCAAAGTAATTATGATTTTTTTCATGAATATCATAATTATATGTTTTTAACTATAAATATTCAAATATTTATTTATTTTTATTACAATTTCATTAATATTAATGTTTTAATTCATGTATTATGAAAATTAAATTTCAAGTGGTGAAGTGAAGATATTTAAGAAAGCTGAAGTCGAGGAAAGTTGAAAAGGTTAACCGTTAAAAAAAAAAAAAATTGGATTTAACTTATAAGGGAAAGAATATTATAGGAGATATCAGTTTTATATAGGTAAAGTTTTTTGGATAAGTATTATAAGCTAAATTCAAGTATACTTACCATTAATCTCCTCCAATGTTCCATCTGAATCCTTTAACTCTCTTCCAATCTTCTAATTTGAAAGGGAAAATATTACAATTAACTCTCATCCAAGTTACCTTGAAGTCTACAATTTTTTCTTTTGAGGATAATCTTGAACTCTAAAGTTTCATTGAAGTTAAAAGAGTATTTGGAATAAAGCATGGGGCATCTATGAAGGCCTATTCACATTAAAAGCATGGGGCCTAATCCCGCATAAATAAAATATGTAATAGAAATGACATCTTCTACAAAATAAAATGTCAAATGCATGTTCTTTTTTAATACTTATTTCAAAATTTACAAATTTTATGACCATATTTTAAAAAACTCAAATTTTTTAAAACTACAGGTGATATTAAATATAGTTATATATTAAAATATACAATTAAAAAATAATTAATAAACCAATTTAACCTGAGGATGTCTTTAGTAGTTATAACATATTCCTAATAAAGTAATAACAAAGTAAATATGATTTCTTCATGAATATTATAATTATATGTTTCTAATTATAAATATTCCACTATGTATTTATTTTTATTACAATTTGATTAATAATTCATGCAGTAATTCATGTACTATGACAATAATAAGTATAGTTTTATTAATTATAATTATGAAAATTATATAGAATTATTAAAATTAGAATTAAATATTTTTAATATTTTCAAATAAAAAAATAAAATTATATACATCTATTATAATTAATTTAAAATTAACATAACAATTTAAATTATTATTGTTAACTGCTTTTATAGTAATATTAGAATCAACATTAATAATGTGACCATAATATTATAATGAATAATAAAAAGATTACGTAATTATAATTAGAATCATAGATAAATATTATGAATAAGTTTTACATGTAATACACTTTCCCATAGGAAAATCATATAAGTATTTAGGTGATAGCTTAACGCATATCAATATACTATTCCATCGCATATTTACGAAATTATTTACATGAATGCTTAAAACATATCTACATACTCTTGATTACATATTTCTGTAATTATTTATGTGATCGCTTATTTCATTTCTACGTGCAACGCACGTGATCCCACTAGTTTATAGAAAGTGAAACCAGTTGAAAGCCCAAAACTAGCCTCAACATTACCCTAGCTGAGAGCCAATATGCTCTCTTTTCCATTTGATGGTTAGCAAAGCCCCTAAATTCTCTATTCAAATAAAGTTACAACTCCACTTCATAAAGTTCTTTCTAATAAGAAACAGACAATGATAATGTAGTGACCTCTTGGCAGGATTAAAATATAATGAAACGTCTTGGCAGGATTAACATATAATGAAATACCTCTTAGCATACTGCAACCAGAAGAAAATAAGGAAATGACAGACCTGTCTCCATATAATGCAATTAAGTTATAAATATGAGACAAATATGTGGAGGAATAACTTTACCAATTGGCTTATGAAATCATTCTGAAACTTTGCCTCCGTCTCTATTTCTTGAGCTACCTGCAAAATTTGAACAAAAAGGAGGAACAACATTAAAAGAAAAAGAAAACAGAAATTAAAAAAGGAAGAGAGATACCAAAAATAATGACTATTCCTAACACTGTGACTGACAATAAGAACATCTGGTGCTCAAAGAGCAGGAGCAAAACACAATCCAGAAAACAAAAGGGAATGATGCAACAACATAAGTCATACGACCAACAGTTTTAAGAGTTTGGCTACTGAAGAAAGCATCCTAATGTACACAAATCAACTAAAGCCCATCCCTCGAGAGTGTGCCAACACAAGAATGGAGTGAACAAATGTTTCAATAAGCAAACATAAAGAGTATAGGCTTTCATACCATAACTCTGCCGTGGCCGGTCCCAAGCCGGTCATGCCGGTTCCAAGTCCGGGTAAAGGAGGAGGGTTGTGTTAGGTAAGGCAGCCAACGTAAAACTTTGTCAAAACTTGTCATAAATCCTAAATCTATGAGCAGAACGGCAGAATAGGATTCATGTAGCTGACATAGTTGAGAAAATGCTTAAATGATGAAGATGATGGTAGGATTTCATGCCATAACTACTCCCAAGTAAGTACTTCTGGAACGCACTAATTTGAACTCTAGCATTTGCTTAACTGATCCCTGGTACAGCATCGTTTATGGTAAAATTTTGCACATCAAATGAAGAAGAAAAAACATATAATAGTTTATTAATGGAAACTATTAGATGCTAATAACATACCTATTGATGAGAATAATAAGCATCAAATGATAAGATTTTACCTTTTTTTAACACACCTTTCTCTTCCTGTACATATAATTCAATGAACGCCCCACAGTGCTCTTGTTGTAGCAACTTCTCCATTTCATGGTTTCCAATCAGAAATGTCTCCAGCTGACCTCCCTTTTAAGACAGAACTTTTCCCACCTATTTCAAACTTCATTGTTAACTTGATGAAGTTGCAAGTTATGTCATCCAAGGTTTCTAATCATTGGACATCAAGCCCCACATCAAATCCAACCAATGAAAAAAAATCGACAGTCTCAAAGCGATATCCTTGAATGATAATGGGTACCTTCGAGCAACAACTGGTGCTAAATAGGCACTCTCTATCTACAATCATTACCCAAAAAATCTCATCTTCAATCACCTTACATCCAATTCGCTTTGCAAGATCCAGATGCATAACATTGTGTTTACTACCTAAATTGTTCAAGATGGTGACTTATTGTTGTTTAACATATCCACTGACCCACATTGTCTCAAGTGGAGCCACCCCAATCGTGGAACAAAATCTCCAGAGTGTAATTTTACTGCTCCACATCATCATCTTTCGTTTCCTCCTAGGACCAATCCCCTTCCATCAACAATAGTTGATGTTGTTTACACTTGTAGGCCTGGCTTAAAAAAATTTCATCGCAACGAAAACACAAGCCTTTTTCTTGTCTTGCACTCATCTTTGCTGGGGTAGTCGCTCTATAGGGGGATTACTTAGTTTCAATCCAGAATTGGCATTGGAGGATATAAGCTTGCTATTGGTACCCTTGATATGTCATCTATGAATTGCTAGTTCTTCTTCTTGGAGACGTGCAACCCCTATAGCTATGACATCATAGTGGGTCTGAACATTTGTAATCCAAGTGCATCTCTTCCTTCAACCCACTAATAAACATGCTACAAGCATTGATTCTGTCCCCCCTTCAAATCGATTTCCTATGCATTCAAACTGTACTTGATACTCCTACAGAGGAAATCTGCTGCAATTTCATCAATGCACCATTGAAATCCTCATAGGCTCTGGCTTCGTTTTCTAAGTGAAAAGATGCCAAAGGAACCTTCTATAGTTTTAGTGTTTGCAGAAACCAGAAAACTACTACGCACAATAGTGAATCAAGGGAAATCTAATCGCAATAATCGAGTCTAGAACCCACCATTGGCCTCCCCTCATCAGGTGTGATAACCTTTGTTCGTGCCCAATTGGCAAAAAGATGTTTCAGATGACACTCTCATTCTTTTGGTCATAACTTGATCTATTTTGAGGGCAATGGCAGTGAGCATCTTGCATGCGTTGACCATCTCTGACTTTAGCTTCTTCAACTGAACTTCCATCTTTTTCGCCTCATGAGAACTTGTAGACCCAATGACCATCAACAAAGAAGTGATCTCTCTACCACAGAACCAAGGTATGGCTCTGACACTCTCTCCCACAGAACCAAGGTATGGCTCTGATACCAGGTGATAAGATCAAATCAAGAGTGAAAGAGAAATTGAACTCCAAATGTGCAAAGAAAACAACAGCCCACTTCTGGTGGGCAGTCCTCTTGTATGTTTTCACACCTAGAATTTTCTTCTCTAACCTAGTCTTCCTCCCCAAAGCATGTTTCTATTCTCCCAACTACAGTTCAAATTTGAAATTTAAATTCCTAAAAGCTACCAAATTACTAGCCCAAATTTGAAATTCAAATCGATGCTTATTTGGCATCCTAATATCAACATAAGTTCGTTGACAGCAGAAGAGTAACTTTTTTCTTCATAAATAAAGGACCCTTGAAGCCCCACAATCACATGTTTGAAAAGCGAGAAACCAGAAAAACAGAAATTTGGAACAGATCAAACTTATAGCACAGTGCCAACAGCAATGATCTTACACAAGCAGACACAATAACCAATTGCTTAATAATCCCCAAAATGAATGAAAATCAGAGATTATAAAATTATGAAAAAATAATAACATCCAATAACAAATATTTAGGTCTTTAGCATCCTCAATTATGCAAAACCACTTCAGAAAATTCTTTTTTTTTTCTTAAATGGATGAAACCATTTCATGATTTATTTATTTTTTTCTTTTCTTTTGATGAACAAAACCCATTTGAGAATTCTCCTAAATTATCTTAAAAAATGTTTGGGAAACAGGGAACTCACACTTTTTAATTGAATGATCTTCCTGTGCAAGCCAGTTATCTCTTCATCTAAATCTGCATGCAAAGGATCGATCCTCAATTGAATCTCTTCTTGTGAAGAAGAACCCACTCTTGTCGAGGCCCCTTCTCTGCATCAAGCCATTCACCTCCAAATAAAGCATCAAAAAAGCAAAAACAAAACTAAAGTTGACGTTTGAAGAAGAGGATACCCTATATCTACCAAGTAAAAGTGAGAATTTACCTTGATCTGATGGCTCCACCGCCAGAGAAACCACGACGTTGTGGGATATCCATGGAGCCTAAGAAAGAAGAGGAAACCCTAAACCTAGGCAAAGGAAACCTCAAACATTTAAATTATAAGCCATAAAAGCGCAGTGAAAGCTAAAAAAAGAACGAGAAGCTTCTCCCTTTCGTGGATCGAGCGCCTGCGCAAGGGTTTCTTTCGTTTCTACAAATATAAAATTTGCCGCGTATTCCAAAAGGAACATCACCACGAAGTGGAGAAATTTATCTACATAATTCATAATTGTATTAGTCAATTATCCAAGGGTGTGGTTTGTATAAAGTAGCAATATTTTTTTAAGTCTTGAAACCTCTTTTTTTCAATTATCTAAGGGTGTGGTTTGTATAAGGTAGCAATATCTAAAGACGGTATAGATAATGTGTTTTAGGATGTATTATTTTAAGACTTTAAACCTCTTTTTTTTTCTCTGTATATATACATCTCGATGTCAATATGATCAATTCGACATTTTTCATCATCAAAACATCTTTTTCAAAATATTTTAGAGGTGCATCTTAATTCTACATTTTAAGGTGTCAACCTTATACAAACTTTTTCTATTATTTAGTGTTTATCATTTTTCAAGTAATCCAACTTATAATCACATGTTTTTTTAAGGGTTTTGAAAGGGAAAATTTTAATAAAAATAAAAAGTTAAATACTTAATGAAAATAAAATTTCGTGTCTATGGTTTTGTGGGTATCCAATTTCTTAAAAAGCTTTTACAAAACGCGATTTCATTGACCACTTATATAGCTCACCCATAAACAAGGAAATGCTAATTTGTGCATGTAGTGATACACTAAGCACGGAACATCCTCTCTGTCTATCATGCATAAGATGGTCATGACCTCAAGGGATTCTGGTAGTGTACAAACCCTTTCAATTTTTAACATTAGCATATGCAGATATTACCATCAAATACAAGTGCAGCCTTTCGAGATAATTGAGTAATTGGAGATGACGCAGTTACATGATTGTATGATGCATCGTCTAAAGTTTTGCTAAACAACTTTTCAATATTCCATTGCATCGATAAATCCATGAGAACAGTAGCGATGACACATACACAAAACTAATGACTCTTTTTTGCAAAAGCCATGCATCATCAATATAATGGGCAATGAAACATAGATAGCCTTGGTTACTACATGAGGACTATATGTATGTGGTGAGGCTAATGTGATTAGGGATTTTCTCTAAAACCTCATGCAATTTTTTTTTTTCCTTTTTGTATATTTCCAAGATGCCAGATATTGCGATTAACCATCTTAAATATTGGTTGTAAATGTCATACAATGTGTTCTACAATTGAAAAGGGATATCCATGTAAGAGAGTCATTTTTGTTAGATCACTTCTACTTCACTCTTAAACAAATTTATAATTTGTCAAACCCCCTCTACCTTTTTTAAAAGAAGCTACTAACATTTGTTGACCTGCACCTAGGCACACTCTCTTAGGACATTTTTTTTTATGTTTTATTTCAGATGGCTAGTCCCATGTTTACTAGCCCCAACTAGCTACTTACGACAATGTTTACAAGCTGCTTTGCAATACCATTTGCATCCGAGGAAGTTGTTTTCCGTTTAGCGTCAAAGGTACTATGGGGTGACAATGGCATCTATATTGTTTCAATATCTTGATTTTCTCCTTCAACCGACATGATTTACTAAAAAGAATAATAGCAAATTGTTAAAAAAACAGGCGAATTACTATAGTGCCTGACCTATGTCCAAAAAAAAAAAACCCACCATAGTTCAAAATGCACATTTGTAATAGAAAATCATGATCCAATTAAGAACACAACGATTTCAAAAAAGAATATAGCACAGCACTAGTATCAAAATAATCCCCTTTCAAGATCTAAATATCAAAATAGATCTAGCCCTTAAAAAATTGGACTGCCACTATTCAATATTAAGGTATTAATCTTTTTCAATGGAGTTTATATGAGAAATTACTTTTATTGAGATTAATATATAGCTGGAGATCACATCTCCAGAATTTGAGATCCAAACAATATCCCTGACATATGTTTGCCCAAGGAGTAATGGATAAGAAAAATGGTTTCACAAGGGCTAGACTGGACCAGACCAAAGAGAGAGAAGAGAGGAGTTTAGAGAGGACAATATAGGTAATTATAAAAAATCAAAATACTTAAACTTATCTAAAATTGAAGGAAAAAGTTTATATACACTCGAGGCTCGAAACAATCAAATCAAAGCTTATCTCAAAAATTTCCAGGTTATTTTGATGCTTAAATACCCTCAAATTGATAATCACGACATCAAGATGCATGAAAATGGGGAAAAAAAATAGATTTCAAGTTTTGAAAATAGTGTATTTTGTAACGTATTTTTGGATCGTCAATTTCAAGATTTTAAAGTTTCCATAGATATGTTGATCTACATTATTTTTTAAGCTTTAAACTTTGTAACTACATATTATAATATATTTTAAGGCTATCACAAATATTTATAGTATGGAAACCACATTGTTCAACATTACTTGAAGGTAGCCTCTAATTTGATTTTTTAGCCTAGGCTCTATACAAACGGTAGCCAAACTTAAATCTAAAAATTAGTGAATAAATGGCAGTTGCAGTTGGCATACATATGCATTTGTAGCTGCAGAGGTAAGGTGCTCCTTCAAATTTTATCATGGTATATAATTTTGAAGTAAAATGTTATGAAGATTATTTTAAATTTAATTTTTTTATTTAATTATAAAAATTTAAATTTAAAAATAATTAAAATCTAAGTAGATCTATAAACGTACGAAAATATTAAAAATAAACAATATAAAAAATATGTTGTAAAATGCACTATTATTTATATTGCCATGGTCAAATGTCGAGATAATCGATCATATGGATTTTCAACCTAAAAAAATTCGTTTCCCGGTGAATTTTGTAGGTGCATCCGTACTGTTACACTATAAGGTTGCATCCTTATCCAGAGATAGAAAGAGAGGAGGCTAGAGAGAGAGAATCGGAGAGAGGGGAGTTTGGAGAGAGAATCTTATAGCAAAGAGGAGCTTAGATCGAGAGAGACTTTTAGCGGTGCGCTTTGTGGAGATTGTACGGGTGACGCTGTAGCAGGAGCTTCGTCTAGCTTGTGGTAAAGGTGCGGAGACTCGTGCCCTAAATTCCTACAATCATCTTGCAACTCTAGTTTTCACAATCGTCTTGAAATTTTTAGTTGTAGGGCTTGGATAACTTATTGGAAGAAGTAGATGCCGATGATATTTGTTTTTTTTAGAGTAAGTGATTTTGGTTGATGCTTCTTGCTGTATATGCTTTTGTTGGAAATCTCTTTCTGTCATGAACCTGTTTTTCCAATGTTTGCTACTGGAAATTGTTAATCTATAAGGAACCCGGAAACCTGTTTGGATTGGCTTTTTAATGGCCTTGGCATGAGATATTTAGAGGATATCAGTGACCTGTAAGGATATGTGGAGAAAATCAGTGACCTGTATAGAGTCTAAAAGCTGTATCAGATTGGGGTTCTGATGACTTTGGCTTAAGAGATTTGGAGGACATCAATGACCTGTAACAAATCCTAAAAACTGTTTGGAATGAGGTTTTAATGGCTTTGGCTTGAGAGATTACAGGAAATCATTGGCCTGTGACAAAGGATGAATACATTGTCAATGGTGATTTACAAGTACCTATTTGTTTTTTTGTTTTTTTTTTCCTTTTTTGAAGGATTCTTTGGGTTTCTGCTCTTAGTTTTTCCCATGAGCAAACTAGCTTTTGTAGTCTCGAATTTCAAAGGCAATATGTTTCATGGTATGTGCATTAAGTTAACACATTGTCACAGGTTGTGCTTCTATCAAGTGGAAAGTAATATACTTACATATGCATACATTGAGCTTATAACATGCATCAAACATACAGCAATCATATATTGACCACTTCTACATACAGTTTAAGATAATTAATATGCAGTTTTATACGCATTACAATTATTATATAAATGTATTTCTATATTTAACAATGTATTCTGAGGTTTCTATTCCTATAGATTGGAAACTAACTTTTGCCAAAATTTCTTGTTATTGTATTGATTTGCCTTATAAGCAGAAACAACTTGTAACCTTCTATCCTTATGCAACTTCTGCAGATATTTCAAAAATGTCTTGGTGTACAATTGAGTCTGATCCAGGTCAGTTTGAATGATAGTGAAACATTGTGGTTTATTTTATTTACGGGAACCTTCTTTTCATTTGTTTTTATTATAAAAACCAGGATGAGTTGCATGTTGACTATGTCTTTCTTCTGTAATTAAAAATTAACTCAGGCATTCATTGAAGTTCATTGACCTTAAGTTGCTGTTATTGATGTTTGATGCACATGGAACAATTTATTGTTTTACATGTTTTTGTCGTAGTGGTAACTATGCTAGAAATTTTGTGATTTTGATTTTGAGGCCTTCTTCAAAATGGACCAGGCTCATGTATTGATCTGTGTTGGTAACCACCAAGATAGAATATTTTATCATTTGTTTGTTTTGTTTTTGGTTACATATGCTTTTACATTTCTTGTCTTTGTTGGCATACGTTTTATGGCTAGATGTTTGTGTTTCTATTGCATGGAAATCAAAACCCGAGCTTTTGAGAAGCAACAAGCCATTTCGAAGCGTTTCCTTGCTCTCTACACGTGCTCTTTTTTTCTTTCTCGGATTTAACTTTTAAATTATTCTCTACTATGCTTCTATTTGGTGGGGTTATCACTTGGGGTTGTCACTTGGATGTCAACTGGTAGAGCAGTTTTAGTGTTGATAATTGTTGGTTTGGGGTGTAACCTCCCTCTTTCTTAATTTTTACCTTATCCTTGGCTTTGGCAAAATTTATTGCTTGTGGCTTTCTATATCCTGATGTTGATATGAGCTTTCTAGGCCTGGTTTAATATGTTGCTACTTGGGGTAGACAAAAATTTGTGGGCATCATAGATGAGGATCACTAGTTTACATGTGTGAGCTATATTTTAAGAAAATATTAGACCAATGGATTAGGCTTGCAATTTGACATGGTCCCAGTGTTCCAAAAAACGCTTGGGCGGCACCTAGGCGGCTAGGGGGTCTAGGCCGCCCAATGCCTAGGCGGCCGCCTAGAACCTTGGCAGCCTAGGTTCAAAAGGGGGAAAATGGTGTCCAGTAACCTTGTTTTGCGTACATATTTTGTACAGAATATGCATATTCATGCATTTTTTATAATCCCAAAAAAAAAAAC